ATTCATCAAAGTCCTATCATGGCAGGTGGCTCTGAAATTATTGTTCGGACTCTTGGTCGTTGACGTTTGTGAACATAAATTATTTGTGCTTCTCCAGGGGCGATCAGGTCCTGTGGTGCCCCGATTAGCCCTGGTGTCCTGTAATTTTATTTCACTAGTTTCATCTCCGTTTGTTGAAGGACGGGTTCTCATGGTCCTGCAAATATTTGTATTTATTTGAAAGCGATACCGACCTGGATGATATAATTTTATGACTATCTTTATTCCTACGACGACATTATTACAATCGATTTAAAATCCCTTCACTTTAACGTACTAATTTTTCAAGAGGTTACGAAGCTTAACACCACATCTGAGCAGCAAGTCGCATACCTGCCTTTGAGCCAGGGTGAAGTGTCCGATAGGACACCAGCAAGTGAGATCGTGGTGGTGGAAGTTGAAGGAGGCATGTTTATAAGGGAAGGGATTTTTTCGAGATTGAGGGAACCCTTCCACGAGTTTGACTGCAAATGACTAAAGCGTACGGAAATGAGTAGAATTTGCTTTTTTTCAGTGTAAACTACTCTTCCTACTTCCCGCTTGGCGGTTGTAGGCTGCGGTTTTGGAGGACCTTTGGGACTTAGTTGGAGTGTGTCTTGTGTGGTTGGCAGAATCAAATATTAAAACAGTCATGGCAGTCATAGTGGTGGGAGATGGGATGGTTGGGGATGGGAGAGGTGGAGATAGTTGTAGTTGGTGAAGCATGATTTCGACTTGGTGGTGGTGATGGAACCCTTTGAGAAGAAGTCGTACAAACATGAAATCGGCAACACGTGACGCTTAACCCTGGCTTGAACCTACTTCAGGCACCTTCCAGAGTTTTAGCACATAGGTCTTCACTACTGGAAAAACCAAATGAGGTAGAATAAAGCCAGAAGCAGAAGGGATCGCGTTCCCAGGGAAGGGTTCATTCTCTTGGTTGGAAAGGGAGGGGTTCACGAGTTTTACTACAAAATTAAAGTGCTGGAAAGTATGAAAAAGTATAGAATTTGCCTTCGTCAGCTGCATACCCACCCCCATCCACCACTCACCCCCCCTCCTGTTCTCCCTGCTCGACAGCTGTCGACGCTAAGGAAGAGCTTTCCAGTATAGCGTTGAAATTCATTGCACGTCTCCTCCGCTGTCCCCTCCTCTCACCATATTCTTCTGGTGGTCTCTAGGGATGGAGGAAATATGAGGCTTATCGATCGTTGACTAGCTTTCGAATGTTTGCGACATGCAGCGAATGTATGTATCGACGACGAGATGATGAATAGGACGTTCGGGTGGGTACCTGGGCGAGAGAGAAAAGGAAGTGCGCTGAAGTGTTCTTTTGGGGTTGGATTTAACTCACTTTCTCCTCGTGAACCTCTTTGTACTTGAGGTGAAGCGAAAAACCCATTATTTAAATTATAATATTTACTGGTGATAGCGCAAATCTTTAAAGCAAAGTCGATAGGCAAGAAAGATAGACGCCTTAAGTCGTCTCTGAAGGGCACACTTCCAAAGCCGTTTCCTACTTACTAGAACAGTGTTTCAAATGCCCACGCAACATTAAATTAAGGCCTAGGTAAAGCTATGGAGCCTGGAATGTTGGTTAAACGTTGGAATAATGATATTCAACAAAAGCCGGACTTTGATGGCCATGATTACGAGGATGACATCTATTCACGACGCAGACGCCGTTTGGCACCAACTTGGAAGGGCCAACCTGAAATGCAAAATCTTGACACCGCGGGGAATTGAACTTGGGATCACATAATGCTAACAACTGCCTTAACAGGTTCACATGGTAATTTTAGTCTTCACCATCTGAGGCTCTATCGATTCACCTAGTTTTCAGTTCAGAGGTATTTGGGAATTTGGAACACTTTCCTGGTTAGAACGTTCGAGAGAACCCGGGGATCATTTTTCCACTAACCAGCTAATCTGTTATTCACAAAGGATTAAGCAGTTCTATAGAACATGAGGTTCAGTAGAAGTTTCCCAGCGCTTGGCGAAAAATGTCACGTGAGACGGTGGTGGGTTTCGAAATATCATTTTATGCGATATGAAAGGACACAAAGTTATTTCATTTTTAATAAACTTATAAAGCAGTATTTCCCTAGGGTCATTAATGATGTCGTGGAATGAAGCTACTACTTATTAACTTTCCAAAAAAGTAACAGTCTCAGTAAGGCCTTCAGATGCATTTTAATCAGTTTTATGCCGACAAGATGATTGCAGCAAGAAAAAAGGTCCAGGTGACGTCATCGCGCTTTATCTACGGTCCAGCTAATCCGTTGACAAGTTGTTAATTAGATTCCTTGTTCGATTTCTCTGTTGATAATTTTATGAAAATCCTGTATAAGTTCGGAATGTGTTCAATAAACTGCTTTTCATCCTGGGAAATGTCGGTTCTAGCCATCGCCTGCACTTGACGTTGACATTGCCCAACGGCAACTCGTTCCTGATAGAATTGGGGCTTTTGCAAAGCAGCCCCGCCATCCCTTCCGAGCCATTTTCTCACAGAAAGCCAAGGCACGCGAAGGTCTAAAGCATTCAATGAGACTTTGAAGGGCAACAACAAAAAGTCGCTGCCGTTTTCAATTTGTTCCGTTCAAAATCGGCCTGCGTCAAATTCGAAAAAGATGCTGTGAAATAAATGGCAAGCAAGGGTTTACACCTTTAAAAGTTTCGCACACACTTGATATCTAGAAAAGTCGTGGTTCCAAAACCGATTTGCTGTTGATGGTGTTCTACAAAGGAATAATTTCAGTAGACCGGAAAAAAAACTTTCACGTAAAGGTCCGATGTCTTCGGCATGCAAAACCTTCATGTTCAGCAGCTTCATGAAGCCAAAAATGACATCCAAAGAGTTCTGGATTAAAACTGCTGATTACGAGATGGGGCTAAGCTGGACTGAATTAATTGCGCTTGGCCGTTCTCTGCTTGCTCTAGCTATTCACTTACCCACAATTCTACTCTATTTTATTGTTGGTTCAAGGAGGGTGAAGATCTCAAGAAGTGTGGTTGAACAGGTTTATTTTTTAAATACAACTTTATACTCTGTCTCATATTGAGTATTTTTTCCCATTCTTTTTCTCATCGAAGACTTGAAGCTTAGCATGCATCTTAATAGCCTCACCGTCTTTAGTGACCAAATTTCCCATTGCGGCATAATACCGGACCCTAGGCACGGAAGATTCTTTGCTGATTCGATGATTTATTGATGAATGCGCAATTCGCGAACGTATTTCTATTGTTTGCTGGCTTGTTTACTTCTTTCTTTAACTATAACGCTAAACAAGGAGGTCCTAAGAAAACGGAACACCATTAGCTGCAACATTTTCCACACGTTTGCTGACCATAACACTATTCTATTTTCAATGGGGTTTTTTTTTCTAAAAGAAGGTCAAAAGCGGCAGCATCGTGGCACAGCGTATTAAAGAGAACAACAGCAGAAACCCAACAGGCAGGTAAAGCTGCTAAACTTTGAGACTACGATCTAAAGGGGTTCCCAAGGTAAAAGTTGTGCTCAATGGTACGCCAATGCTGAAAAAAAAATCCGACAAGAAAAAGAGAGAAGGGGTTCCCCTTTCTTGGCCGTTGATATTCGCTGAAGGACGAGCATCGGCCAAGACGGCGGACGTATGGACGAGTTTGCCGCAATGCGTTTGGTGGCACCATGCCAATCCATGCTCCAGTTGTGCTACTGCTGGCAACACAACTCGTTCAACTCGCTAACCAGACTAGTGGGTGGAGCGCCTAGAGGGCGTGGTGATTTTGAGCTCCAACGCACCTTTCGTCGTTAAAACACCACACCTCTCGTCCTTCGCAACCAAGTAACTACTTCCTGTGGCGCCTATTCTTCCTCGATGCGCCCCCTCC